TGAGTTTAACGGAATCTTTTTATTTAATTGAACAAATAATACTCTAAAAATACATTCATGTATTTCAAAAAGTCTAATTACATACAATTTTGTTTCATTATAATAAAGAAATAGACAAAAATAAATCATGGATGGAAAAGTTGGCCTGCTGGACTGTAAAATCTGAGATAGGCATGGTGACAACAAATCAAGTCTGGCTACTGCACTAAACCAGATTTTATTTGAAGTGACACAACAAAGTAGCTGCACACAGTGGATTTTAAAAGGCATAGAACGACACCAGTGTTTATCTTACGCCCACAACACACACGTTTTCAGTAAGGCATAAATAAGCTAGGCCTTAGGCTTCACGTATTCAGACCTGTGACGAGGCAAACGAGCCCTAGAAGCCATACTTATAACTGAAATAAGGCCAAATCAAGAGTAAGCTGGATTCACCTGGAGGCTAAAAGGCTTAAAAGGTAAGGTGCACCTGAGCTAAATCCATTATTTAGCTCAGTTCTCCCTAAAAGCTTGCTAACTTACACCTCACCCAGGCTAACAAATGTATCATAGTGGAGGAGATATAGAAGCTGTTAAATCAACCTCTCCAAGCTCCGCCCACAAATGCACTCTGTCATAGCTACTGTTGCTAGGTTGGACATGTTCTACAGAACTCTGAATCTAGTTCAAGCTAAAGAGAAACTGTAGTGCACAACTCAAAATACCTACATTTACAGTGTTATTAATTTCTAAATATATTTATATTGGGCAAGAGTGAAAAGTTACAACGTTAGGGAAAAAGCAGGTGCAGGTTTTGTCGTGTAATCAAGGTTTTTAGTGATCGCTGACACAGTTGACGCTGATGCACTTACGCTAAGCCTATCAACCAGATGTTCATGTCTAAAAAACAAATAAAAATGACAGTTTATCATTAGGTTGAATGACATTTTTTCAATGTTCTGTAAAGGTCGTCCAAACACACAACAGCAGCTAAGAAAAAACACATTTGTGGGCAAATCAATTAAACGTCTTACTCCTTTTTTTCCCCAGAATACAGGCCTGAAGGCAACTCTGGCCACAGGGCACCTGGTAGAGCATTTACAGCCACAAAGCAGTAGGCCATGGGTTTGAATCCCACTTCACACCAGGCCAGCGAGCCTATAAGAAGCTTAATAAATCAATACCAGGTTTGCAGCTCATTTCACAGTCATAACGATAACCATCAGAGAGTTTCCTCTCCCTCCCTGCGGTTACTGTGTGCGATTAACAATACGCAATGCTGTTCATTGTGTGCTGAGGAGCGCTATTGTGCTGATTGCTATCTTGGCTAACGCTAACCCTGCGAATGCTCCCACACTGAAAAACAATCAGGAGGTTGACTATCTCTCGCCAACACGGAATGCAAACATGATTATACATAAAGCAACGATTGGACGATTGTACAAAAAACCCACAGGTTAATTAAAAAAAAAGGAAAATAATAAGAAGAAAAAGATGCAAATGGTCTTGAGATACAACGGCAAAAGTAAATTAAAGGACTTGTGGTGACAAATGGCACTTGAAGAGAGTAAACGAATGTGCTTGAGTGGATTTTACGGTCAATAGGGCTTGTTTTAAGGAATTATTATTAGGGGAATAGTTCGGCTTTTCAGAAGTTGACAAAAAAGTCTAGTTTTAAAGGAAATTACAGCATTTTCAACCTAATCTTTATCTGCTGCATCTGTGGCATATGGTCAAATATCATGGACATACGGTCAATTACCATGGACATATGTTTTATAGGCAAAAGAACAGAAATCTAAGGAATAGATCAGAACTCAGCCATTCATATGATAGAAACCACTGGGGACTTATAATAGAAGCCAATGGGAAGATGCTGAAGCGACTGTCCATTGACTTCTATTGGTATATTGACTACAGTATATGTTTCAAATCAATAGGTTTTCTGTTCTAACTAACAGGGAAATGCTTCAAAATTACTGTCCATGGTAACCAAACATATTCCACAGATGCAGATGATATACATTAGAATAAAAAATACTGGAAATCTTCTTTAACATTTCAGGTTAAAAGCTATTTGAACAGGAAATCATCACTTTAAAGCAGGTTTGAACCCTTTAACCTGTCCACAGCTCTGTTGGAGGGGCCTAAGCTTTAAACAGACCGGACGGCAGGGCATGGCGAGCCCAGTTTAGTGCAGTGAGTGTTTCTGTGATCTTCTACTTGCATGATTGATGAGTGCATGTGGATAAGGAAGAGGTTATTGTATAAGTATGTATGCATATCATTTCTTAGTGATAGCAGCCACTGCTTTCCTGGCTGCGTCGTCCAGGTCGCTGGCCGAAGTGATGGGCAGGCCGCTCTCGGACAGGATCCGCTTAGCCTCCTGCACGTTGGTTCCTACACCCACACAGAAAGAGAATTCTGGTTATGCCATGACATAAACAAACAAACACATACATACATACATACACACTTTTTAGTTTTTGAGTTTAGATCTGGAGCAGCGAGGCTAACATAGCTAACAAACACTAGAGCCCAATAGTCACCCAAATAGCCCAAATCTTTTCTGTAAAAATGCATCCATAAAACTTTTCTCAACCCACTCAAACTGCATCCAGGTCTTACACATAGTTGTAGATGTGAACTAGTACACAGTGCGACTTACTGTGCACTATAAAAATGAACCAAACCGCAGGCAGTCATTTTAGAGAACAGGCTCTGTTTTCAAAAACCACCTCAGGAGTAGGAGTGAGGATCTAGAATCGGTATTTGTGACAATGACCATCATAAATACAGCTCTGGCGTTGTCTGAAATGGCTGCCTGTGAAATTTAGTTAATTTTTTATAGTTTATAGTTTAGTAATTTCTATAGTCAAACTGTGTCCTAAACCATGTAGGCAAGTCTGCATGACTTTAATAAAGACTTGGGGATGGTTTGAGCAGCTGAGAGAAATTTTGGAGATGTGTTTTTATAGAAACAATTTGGGCTATTTGGGTGACTATTGACTTCTAGCGTTTGTTAGCTATGTTAGCCTCGCGGCTCTAGTACAAAGCTAAGGAAAAGCAAACTTCAGACACCAAACATACCTTGGCTAATCGACTACATTGAAATAAGAGGAAAACTGTGTAAATCTGAATTTTGCCCAATTATCTCTTTAACTGTCGTCCTGTTCACATGGTAAACTCAAAACGGCTCTGATTTGGCTGGAGTTTCCTTTGTTCTCTCTAAACTATGAGAATAGCAGGGCCTGAATTTGAGAGAGTTGCAAAACTGAACTTCGTCCTTTTCGACCTAGAAAGGCAGCGGTGTTGAAAATACGGCAGTGCCGGGCCATTGGCTGGGAAAAAGAAAGGGGTCGCTCGTTTGATTGGCTGAAAGTCAGTGGTGTCGTTCCATTGGCTGCAGTGCATGTCGACCCCAGCTGCTGGGGGGGCCCTCGGTGCGCGCTCTCAGTTTCATTCTGATCAGGCAGCGTTCCAGGACGGATCCCTCGGCCCTCCGGGGGTCTATACAGGGTTTATAACCTGACAAAATCTCTCACAATACCGCCCAAACCGACACGAGGGAAGGGCACAGAGCCAAAACAAGAAAATAGCGACTGAAAAACACCCCAGGAGACGAGAGGAGAGATAGAGAGGGAGATCGACATAGAGATAGAGGGGGGAAAAATGAGAAGAGAGACAAAAAAAGCAGAGATTGAGAGGGGGGTCTCAGAGGAAGGTGCTGTTGCTGTTGGGGTGTTTTTGTGTGTGTTTATTCCTGTGTTTAACCTTTTGTGAGGACCGACTCTCCTCGCAATGACAGAAAAGCATGAAGCAGTAGAGGTGAGGACACTTTTCTGGTCCTGTTTTCAACACAAACTCAACTTCTCTTTGGAAAAACTAGAAGAGCTGAAAGACTGACTTTTGGTCACTGAGGTTAGGGTTAGAGTTAGGATTGGGTGGAGCATTACACAGCAACAGTATTACACGAGTCAGTAGAAGTCCTCACAAAGATAGAGATTCACTCAAAAAGAAGTGCACAAAAAGAGTATAGAAAAAGAAGCGCAAACAAAAAGTGCACAAAAAGAGTACAGAAAAAGAAGTGCACACAATGAAATACACTAAAAGAGTACAAAAAAGAAGTGCACATAAAGAGTACTGGAAAAGAAGTGCACGCAATAAAGTACACAAAATGAGTACTGATAAAGAAGTGCAAACAAAAAAGTGTATAAGAAGAATACTGAAAAAAAAGTGCACATAAAGAGTACCACAAAAAAGTACACACAATGAAGTGCACAAAAAGAGTACTGAAAAAGAAGTGCACACAATGACATGCACAAAAAACGACTGAAAAAAAGATGTGCACACAAAGAAATGCACAAAAACAGTACCAGGAAAAAGTGCACATAAAGTGCACAAAAGAGTACTGAAAAAGAAGTGCACATAAAAAAGTGCACAGAGTACCGAAAAAGAAGGGCACACAGTGAAGTACACAAAAAGAGTAATGAAAAAAAGCCCATAGTTTATGCATGTGTTTGAGTATGACTGTGTGCGTGTGTTTGAGTATAATTTGTGTGTGTGTGTGTGTGTGTGTGTGTGTGTGTCTGTGTGTGAGCACGCAGTGTAATTATGATGGTATCTGTTCTCTCTGGAGGGAGGTGTCTCTAATCAATAGCAGTTTCAGAAGGAATTCAATTACCAGCACCACTTAACTACTGATATTTCAGCGCCCGTGTCCGCTCACATAACAACTCACTTCCAACACATCTCCCACATTTGGCAGCACTAAACAATCAATTGTATAATTTCATTAGCGCAGGAACCGGACTAAAGGGAGCATGTTAGCAGGGTATAGAGTGTCTGCTGCTGTCTCAACCTATAAAACACTGGACAGAGACAGAGAGAGTGAGAGAGAAAGAGAGAGAGACAGAGAGAGAAAGAGAAAGAGGGAGGAAAGTGGATATACAGTACTGTGCAAAAGTCTAAGCACCTAAACACATTATGATTACAATGAATACAAAATAATGAAGGACTGATGAGCCAAATGACTAATAACTACAATTAAAACGGGGCTGCAGTGAGGAGAGGCCTGGAAATGGTTAAGCAAACAACACTGACATGCATGTGGTCACTACATTATTCTAAAGTGTTTTTGAACAAATGAACGATTAATAAGAATTCATTGCCCAGATAAACAGTTTTACACATATATATATATATATATATATATATATATATATATATATATATATATATATATATATATATATGCATTTCTACATAAAATAGGATCAGATTTTCATTTAACCTAGAAATACAAACAATTATACAGGTTTTCATTAATTTATTGAACAATGTGATCCACCATTAAATGTCTTTGTTGGCACAGTGTGTGAACCTCTGCTTTCAGTAATTGCTCTAACATTCTACTGTAGAATTTCTTGATACAATCCAGATTTCATACCTTATTCAAATGATAGCAAGCTGTCGTGGTCCAATAGCAGCAAAACAGCCCCAAACCATGATACTGCCACCGCCATGTTTCACAGTTGAATAAGGTTTTTATGTTTCAATGCAGTGTTCATTTTTGTCAAACAACGTTTTTCTTTGCCTTACTTGTCCACATAACATTATTCAACAGTATTCTGGCTCATCCAGGTGATCTTTAGAAAACTTTAAACAGGCAGAATGTTCTTCCTGGAGAACTGTGGCTTCCACTATGCTATCAATCCATATACATTATCCTTATTTATGTATTTACGTGATGGTGAACTAATAAACACTGATATTAGCCAGTGTAAGAGAGACCTGAAGATCCTCCCACAATATCTACGTCTTTATCTTGGAATCATTTCTGTTGGATGAGCACTCCTGGGAAGGCTGACAATGGCATTGAATTTCTTCCATCTGCCTGACAGGGGGTCCAAACTCCTCCAAAATTATTTCGGAACCTCTTCCAGCCTAATGAGCACTGGTAGATGTTTTTTCTATGGGCCTCAGAAATCTCTTTTGATTCAGACATGGCATGAACTAACAAATGTGTGGTTGAAGTTTCTGAAACAGGGTTGGATCAGCCACAATCACACCTTCCGCAGAGAAATAGCTCAGTTGGGAGCGTGTTAGACTGAAGATCTACAGGTCCCTGGTTTGATCCGGGTTTCGGCAGGGAACATCAGGCCCGTCTTTTTATGGGGGCAGTCGTGGGCTGGAGGTTAGGGAACCAGCCCTGTGACTGGAAGGTTGCCGGTTCGATCCCCTCGGCTGACAGTCCATGACTGAAGTGCCCTTGAGCAAGGCACCTAACCCCAAATTGCTCCCCGGGCGCCGTGGATAGGGCTGCCCACCGCTCCGGGCAAGTGTGCTCACCGCCTTCTAGTGTGTGTGTGTTCACTAGTGTGTATGTATGTGGGTGTTTCACTGCACGGATGGGTTAAATGCGGAGGTCTAATTCCACAGTGTGCGAAACACAGTTGGCTGATGGTTCTGAATGAATAACCTGATTGTCATCCAACTGACTGAACCTCCTGACCCTAATTATCACCTACACCAAAGTGATAATTCTAGACGTTCACACCTTTGCCAACGGAAATATATAATGCTGGATCATGGTGTTAAATAAATGAATTAAAAAACTATAGAATTGTTTGTGCTATTTGTTGTATTGGATTCTCTTTATCTATAATTAAAGTAAATGAAGATTTGTTCTTGTTTTACATCAAAATTATGCAGAAATGATGCTAAAGGGTTCATAAACTTTCAATCAGCACTGTATAAACACAGTGTAAATACATATTGTCGCTGTCTGAACAAAACCTTCTATCTCCATAATTTGACATAATTCTGAATTTCATATGATCTAATGCCCTGGAAAGTTGTAAAAACAAACGTGTGTGTCATTGTTTGTGTATGCATTTCCTCCATTCAATCAAAATCTTAAAGCCAGCAATCCCAAGCAGATCCACACTCACACACAGACCCATCTCACCCAATCACACACACACACACACACACACTGCAGGGTAGAGGCTCTAACTGAGCAACACACACTCTTGCACACATGTTCCCGTGCTCACCTGTCACCACTAGGTGCTGCCAGAGACCTACTCTAGTCTCACATCAACACAAAGCAGAGTTACTTCACTAACACCACAACATGGCCTCAGACTGATCGCTGCCTAAAGAGCATTACAAATGCACAGGTTGCATACACTGCCATGTGTATTATATGAACCTGCCTGTATATAATAACTATAATAACAATATCTACAGACGAAAGCTGCCAAAAAGAGGCCCAGAAGGATGTCTGGTTTGGTCCATTGCTCCAACCTGCCCACCCCTTCATCACCCAGTGAGAGAACAAACATTTCATATAATTTCTTATTTCTCTTTTAAGATCTGAATTATCTAAAAAAACTTTTTGTAACAAAACATACAATCAAATATTATAATAGGCTGTTATGCTATATATGCTATATGTTATGACCCCTAACATCACACAGTCGTCACCAAATGCAACTCAGATGTAACACACAGATTTTCTACCTTTATACTTTCTACTTTTATTTTCTACCTTTACGTGGTCACTGTCGGAGCAAAACCTTCTTTCTCTAACAAAGTAATTCGCAGGAGAAGGGAATAATCTATATGCAAGATAATATTAGGTCATTTTGGACCTTTTTTATTGGTCTATTCATCATGAAAATGTTAGACTTTTAAAGCTAACATTTTTGATACACACTTATTACCTTTAGTTATTAATACAATTTTGGATATATCAAGTTTTCACAAAGAATAGCACAATTTTTATTTCTTTACTAAAGGTAGTATTAATCATAACACAGCATTGATGTTTCTTCCATGTATAAAAAGCATCCCTGACAACATATATCATAAAAATTGGATTTGCTCCGGCAGCAATGATATAAATACAAAAGAAAGAATAGTTAAAAATAATAATAATAAAGCAGGGTTGTAGGCTGTTAAGCCACTTCCTAACAGCAGGGGGGAGTGTGAGGCACCGGCCAGCAGGGTGAATGCTAATGCTGTGGGTAAAGAAGCGGGGGGGTGCAGCAGAAAAATGAGCATCATGTTAAACTAAGTTTATAAAGTTTAAAGTTAATAAAAAAGTCTCACAGATATACAGAGTTCAGCGTCGGAGATTCAGGCAGGCTGAGTAAAGCCCCCTGACCATCAAGCTGTGCCATGTTTCAGGGGGGAATCAATGGGCAGATAATGCAGCTAAAGTCAGACAGAGGAACCATCTTATAGCACTCTGTCAGACATGATCAGTGCCCACACTGAGAGACAGGCACGGCTATCGATCTCCCAGCAGCATGCCCAGCCACACACACACACACACACACACACACACACACACACGCACACACACACACCTCACACCCAAGAACTCTCCTCTACCCAAATAACTTTTTCAGCTCAACCCCACGTTTACTGCCTCAGGCTGACTTTAGTTATTTCTGCTGAGATTTTGATCCACATTTTATCTTATCAGTATTGAACTACACACCTAAACCATCAACTACTAATGCTATTCCAACCTTCAGTTGCTATCGTTTAGAATCAAATTAGCTGGTGTCCTCCAGGATATTTCATACATTGAATTTATTATTATGATTCAGTAAATGATACAGAATTACAGTAGAAGGCTTAATGTCTCAAATCATAGCTACAACAACAGACTGGATTCACCGTTAGGTTGCCCAGATTCCAGCCAGTCATGGAAGTAGCTGTCCAGTTCATGTAACCAGACTAGAAGTGTGAAAAAAAACAAGGTTTTAAATGGCTAGTTGCACTGATGGCTCTCTCAATAAAACCGGGGTTATTTCAAGCTTCTGCCATGGTGAATTTGTTTATCACCGAAGTACGCCGAGTCTGAAGTACAGCTGTAAGTTTAGGCACACCTGGTCAAATTTTCTAAGTGCAAATAAGTTACAGATTCTTAAGAGAGATCACACTTCTGCACATTTTAATGCACAATTACTGTTTGTTTGTTTAATTTAACATAGTGGGGAAAATTATATATACACCTTTAAAATGTGGCTTGTGCAAAACTCATGGTACATGTAATATTTAATGTTTTATTTTTTTCCTATAAGTCAAACGAAGCAAATAAAAAGAAAATGTGCTCTAAAATTTGCAGAAATATGCAGGAATAAGTGTGCTGAGGATATGTTTCATTTGACCAGGGGTGTTCAAACTTTTGCGTTCAACTGTGTCATTTACAAGCAAGTCACAGAGCTGATGTCAACATGCAAAATGCATTCACGCATAACTCTTACAATCAGGATAACATAAACAAAAAAAAGAGTTGGCTTCGGCTAAATGAGCCTCATCAATCAGCTCATCATGACAACTGAGAAACCTTTATAAAGGCTCATTTCAAAAGGCATCATCTTTGTTTTTCAGGCTCTAAGAAACTTAAAGCTTGGATCAGCCCCGTCTCTACTTTGGCAGCTCCTTATGGTACCTTAGCGATCTCCATGGAGTTAGTGAATTCAGTAAGCTAATGCGCTAGCGAGTAGCATGACTCAGCTATTTTGTGCCAATTATCCTAACGACCAGCTGGGAGCAGGCCGAGGGCTGGACACACTCTAGCTCTTAGCATTAGCATACCCAGGTGAGAGGTCGCGCAATCAGGGGCCGTCTCCTTCGTTCTTCTCACTATCGCTAACGACTGCTACGACGTTGCGCGCATGCTAACGATGCTCCCTCGCATGATACCCCGGGTGGACTCTGGGAGCGTGACAGTTGAGCAGTCAGCCTCTCTGAGAAGTTTGAGCTGCTTATAATGAGCACCGTGATGGAAGCATTATTTATGCGCGGACATGGCATTTAGCATGGTTTGACACAAGCTAACCCATTAGCCGCCTGCTCACAGACCGCTAGCTGGGTCTATCCAGCGTTGTTTAATAAATCCTTTCCTGTGGATACAATGACACCCCCCCCCGCAAGGCCCATCAGATGCAGTCATACCTCAAAATACACACCTTCTAACATGCTCAAAAACACACTAACCTTCCAGCCGGACGACCAGGGGCACCTTGAGCTCCAGCTCTCTGCAGGCTTTAGTGATGCCGTTAGCGATGATGGCACAGTTCACAATCCCGCCAAAGATATTCACCAGAATGGCCTCCACCTGAGAGAAACAGACAAAAGAGAGGGTTGGGTCAATTTATAGCAAGAGTCTGGACAGCTAAAACTGCAAATAAGCAAACGTTAGCATCTTTAGCTTGCCAGACTGTCTCTAGTTGTCCTAGTTGTGCTGCATATGCCAATACTAGGGATGCTCCAAAGGACCTGGATTGTAACAGGATCAGGCATATTTTAATGGATCAGGTTTTGGCTATACTAAGACTGATCCAGTTCCAATAAAATACACTCCCGTCACTCGCGAGTGGTTGAAAACAAAACTAGTGTGGAATTGTTCTGAAAAAGGAGCTGCTACTGTGCCTGTTAAAACCATGGCAACCAATGGTAACACTTTACTGTAGGGTACAGTTCATAAGGCGACATGACACCTACATAAGCTTGTCATTACAACTGACATAACCCTACATAAATGTTTATTAATGCTTTTTCCCATAGGAGTCATCTGTAATAAACCCTACTTTGATCAAAATGAGTAAATGTACCCTTTATAGCAAATAATGCCAATTGGAATAAGCATTAACCAACATTTATGTAGGTTTATATCAGTTATCATGACAAGCTTATGTAGCTGTCCTGTAGCCTTATGAACTGTACCCTACAGTAAAGTGTAACTCAAACAATCTATATAAATATAAATGTATTATTTCAGATAAGTAAACCACACAAAAAGATATCAGCACAGAGAATATATATGACCATGCAAGTCAGAGACCACCATTTGTTTATTTAATCCACAGTTAAAACAGCCATTGAAGATAAATTGCACAGATGCCTCAGCAACTAAATATAACATCACATTTGTCTACACATCTTTTCAAACTCATAGCGTTGAGCCGTCTTCTCGCAGTGGAAGGATGGACAGAAACATCTGTGGATGTTTTCGGATCTGAAGCAAGAGTGAAGCTTGATTTTCTTCTCGCTCTAAGAGATTAAAGATTTAAAGACACAGGGACTAAATCTGTTTTCTTTCTAATTAGGTTAATCTGGTTCTTGCAGGCAAACAGTAAATATGTACTAAGTAAACCCTCTGAATAATGTTCCAGTGACCACTAAATAAGCAATATATTTCACCATATTTCTATCCTCTTGATGTCAACTGGGCAGTCCTAATCTTGGGTAATGCTTCCGTAAGCATTTCTAACCAATCACAAGGCTGAGATCTCTTGCTCCGCCCACAGAAAACAGTTTCAGAGTCAGAGAAACTTAGCAAGCTAAAGGTAACCCAGCACAACCAAAAGCTAGCAAGCCAGACCACCTGACTGTAGGTGCCCATAGCCCGTTCATTCGTTTATCCATACATGAACATCGTTTGTCCGTTCCTTTTTGCATGCATTGCTTCGTCCGTCCATCCACAAGTCTGTTCGTCCATTCCTTCATGTGCTGCTTTGTTTATCCATTTGTTCTCCATCCGTCTGCATATCTGTTCATCCGTGACTTTTTTGTCCAGTTACCGTCACATAAAAGCTGGATAATGATTTCAGTTCTGTTTGAGGGGCGGAGCAGGCTAGGAGTGTTTGACAGAGCTGTCAATCAAGCTGCTCATTAGCCACACCCACACAGTTCTCAGATAGCTCTAATCCGTGTTTCATCATATTTCTACTATATTTTTCATTCAAGCTTTGGTGGATGTTTAATAAAACACTCAAAAATGTTTTGGTAATACTTTCTATGAATGTCACCTTTGTAAGCATCTATAAACATATTCATAACATGTTATAATGCATTCATAAGACATTATAAACATAGCTATAAATATTTATAAAAATGCATTATACATTATAGCCATGTTTATTATGCATTGTGAATTGTTAACATAATACATTATAAATACTGATCATAAATTATAAGAGCTCATAAGTCGTATTTGTCCGCTCTAAGTGAAGTGAAGCGTACTGTACTAAAGCCTCCTCCAGTGTTAAGAGTGAGGCTTCAAGTTGAAGTATTTACTGAAGGATTTACTGAAACACTAAAACATACACAGTAAAACACATTACAGGCTTCAAATGTCAGAGTTTAAACTAGTGCTGCCATCAGTGTTTTACCCAATGTGGGAAAGTCAATGTGCACCACCGTTAGCTTGGTATTTGTCTTTACTTAACTCCTGTTTTTTCACTAAAATTTCTTTTGTCTTTCTCCTTCCTTATGCGAGTGGTCTTGTGTCTAATCTACTCAGAAACATCTCCTGAAAAATGAAGTCGTACTTAATGGCTGTTCTGACTGGAAATTACATAAATGGCGGGTGGTATCTGACTTTTCCTCAGAAATTAAGTGATGTGACTGCAGCATTTTAAATGAACTGGTAGTTAAATCATCAGGGAAGTCAGTCAAGCTGGATTATAATAAATATTCAACAAATTTCTAAAATAAAGGGTAACATTTTATGAATCCTGTATTCAGAATGCTTTATTAATGTATTTATAAAGTGTTACATGGCATGCATAATGCCTTATAATGGCTGCCATAAGCCTGCACATTTGCTAATAAGTAGTTATAATTACATGCATAACACTTCATAAAGCAAGAGAATATGATTATAATGTTACAACATGAAACAAACATGAATGTTGTAATGCACTATAACAAGGCTCTGGTATGTTTTCTGTATGGCATCCAGACCCTTCACAACAGTTATGAGCATAATTAGGCCTGTTTACTTGGATTTAGTACAGTGCAGTTTGTAAAACATTGAAAATCACTGCAGCTGTAGGTTTATTAATATTACTTTATTGTTATTCGGCACTACATGTTGTCTGTTCCAACTTATTAAATCTCAGAAAAACTATCGTGATGCATATCATGAAACGCCTTGAAGTATCTCGATATAATATATACAAGCAATTATACAAACATATACTTGGTATTATAAGGTGTTATGTATGCCATATAATGCCTTATAAATTGATTTATAAAGCACTAAGTATACAGGATACATAAGAAATATTACTGCCAGAATTTCACATTATACAGACACTATAAAGTGCATTTTTACTGTAGTATTAACTAGACGTCTAGAATACCTTACCAAACCATGTAGCTGTATATCAATGAAAACACAGCACTGTGGTGGCTGATACTCAATATTAAAGGACTAAGGATCCGATTTGGCAGCAAAAAACGGAACCAATACACTTTACCAAAATCTCTTAACCTTATCAGGAGAATATTTCCTTTCTTTGAAGTTCTCTAGCTTACATACACTGCACACCTATGCACATATGCAGTGACTAAAACTTAAGGCAAGAGATTGGAGCAGCTAGAACTGCTAACAAAACAAACTTAAGCAACTTTAATTAGTCAGTCCGTCGCTAAATATACCGCTGTCACAGTTGCGCTGGATAAGCACATAAGCACTCTGACAGAGGCAGACAAGGCCACGGAGGAACCTTGTCTGGGACGGCGCAAAAATAAAAAACCTAGATTCAACAATATCACGACTCGCTCCCCAAATGAGCGAGCGGCATAAAAAACAACAATACGATCCCGCACGTCCACAAGGTCTTCCAGCGTGCCAGGAGAGATAAGAAAAGGAAGTGTGAGGTACAAAGTCCTTGTGAAAACACCAGACGCAGGATATTCAGCTTCAAAACTCTGGCTGAATGAGCGGAGCCAGTGAGGGGAAATCTAACGAGCGAGGCCAAGGTTAGCGCTATCAGTCGAGCCACAGTCAGGTATGGGATTAGGATAATCCCTCAAAAGCTAATAAACAGATTACATTTCACATAATCCCAACAATGATTTATATTCATGTCCATGAGGTGCACTTGAACGTGTGCACAAAAACCGTATTATGTGTGCATGCACGTACCATACTCACAGTCTCACAGAGACCAGCCTTCATTTCTTTAAATTCCAGTCAAAACAGCAAAGTACAAGTTATTCATTTTCCCCTTATATTTCTGAGGAGATTAGATATGAGATTAGATATAAGGAGAAAGGAAAAGGAAAATAAGTGAAAAAAAAGGAGTTTCCTAAACTGGAGTTCAAAACAATGATTGAAATACAGAGAAAATGGGCCTCCTAACAACCACCTGGAAGACCTGGTAGACACCAAAACTGCCCCCATCAGATAAACAGCACTTGAAGCTCTCATCTTTGAGAGAGAGGAGAAAATCAAGCTGCTTCAGATCTGAAAACATCCACAGGTGATTCTGTCCATCCTTCCACTGTGAGAAGATGACTCAGCGCTATGGGTCTCAAACCAAGCGAAGAAGCTGCTGGTGCTCTCAGGACAACAGAATGACCAGTCCACACCTCAACATCATTGAACGTTTTTAGGATTTTTTTTTGTTTTTTGGATTATGAGAAGCAAAGAAACACAACTAACTACTATAACTGAACTTACGAAGCTGAAAAATGAATTACTTGTACTTTTAGACCAATTTGATTGGAAATTAAATAAATAATTGGTGGTCTGGCTTTTGCAGTACTGTATAAATGTATGAACTTACTGTATATAAAATGCTTGTTTATACAGTAGGTACATATGTCTTATATTTAATTTCATATATATATATATATATATATGCACACTTCAGCATGGTATATTATTATTATTACATATAAATAGGAACTTTTGTTATTATTAGTAATCATCATTAGACATTTTAACACAAGTACATACATTTTAACACAGTACTACTACTATTAATAATAATTATAACAACAACAATAATAATAATAATTATTATTATTATTATATTATTATTGTTGTTGTTATTATTATGTTCTATCTGCCTTATATATCCCATATGTCCTTTTTTAATACAAAATCAGAGTCCTGGTTAATTTGCATATCAAATTGTGTTAATAAAAACACAATGCTCACAAATCACAGACTGTAGCACATTAACATCACTGCTATAAATGTCAGGCTGGAAAACTGAACTAATCTACGCAGATTTGCGTGTCAAATTTGTATTTTATAAGTCATTACTTTAAGACAATTTTCACTTCATTTAAATATTAAATCTCTGCATACAAATAAAT